GAAGATAGCAAAGAGAATACAGAGAGAATCAAATCGTGTGTGTATTTTCCATTTCACATCTCTTACAAAATGAACAAGCTCTCTGTGAGCTATATGTCCGTTAGAATGAATAGCTGGATACAATTACATCACTTTGTATCTCAGCCCTTCATCTATAACTGCTTAATAAAAAGGTTACACGTGGCTTATAAGCCTTTTACTACTAAAGCCTAACACCTGTCATTTTTATTGACTAAGTGAATACACCATTAGCTAACCAGGCTTAATTCCATTTCCTATCAGCTCACTACTTACATTTCAACAGCCATGTCAGTAATCTAACAGTTTTTTTTGTAAAATCAAATAATAAAGCCCAAATTGATGTTGGGTGTTAATTTGGAGGACTATCATGATAGAAAGAAAAAACCTTACGGAATCGTATTCTATTTTTCTCCTTTATTTGGGAAAATAAAGAAAATGAACATTATCATGTACGTGTTTCTGAGTTTTAAAGGTGAAGGCACTCGCAACACTTCCACTAACCACCTCTACACTGCTTTGGTCAACGCCGGATTTGCATTAGCTCATAAGTTAACCAACCCAATTTATTCAGTCGATTTTTCCTTTTTACATGTAATGATCCACTCTTCTTGGTATTTTCGTTATGAGCATATGAGTATGAGGATAGTCCATATATAACACTTCTGAGCAATATTATTCAGTCTTTTTTATTATTACTGACAGTACATGTGTGCTTGCCAGATAGAGACACCAAATTATTGTCAGTTTTAAAATGGCCATATTTTTATGAAAGACAGAATCTTATGTTTTTTATTTGAGATTTTTTTTTTTGGGAGGGGGGTGGTTCCCACCACCAGTGGCGGAGCCAGGAATTTATGTGTTGGGGGGCCAATATATAAACCAAACAAGACATCAAAAAGTTTCAAATTTTCAACCTTAACAATGTTTGGAAAAATTAAAGGCAAAAAATAATTGTTTATTCAATTAGGTATCAAAATAAC